TGGTGTCTTGGCTTTCCATGCCTTTTTACACCTCCCTTTCTTCATGCGTTCAATACTTTTTCCCTGTGTCATTSCACATTATTACAAATAACTTTATTTCTGGACATTTATGGTTTGATTTCTTTGTATGTATGGAKCACTTGGGTTGTTACTGACAACTRGTGAAAATTTCATGTCATTAGCACCTCTAGTAATGTTGACGTGTTCAATACTTATTTYACCCGCTGTATCTTTACCAGCAAACAACTTTAGGAGTGGATTCATTTCAAATGGTTCTACAGCAAATTGACCCTATAAAAACAGAAATTGCTGATTCATTCATTGAATGATTCATAATATTTTACAGATATTTACTTGAAATTTGGTGTGGCTGTAAGATCCATTTCAACACATGCTTTAAAACTGCTTATTGTGTCATTYCTTTGCTTAAAACGTTAACAATAAGTGGTGGAATCTACATTGTATCTGTAACTAATGAACCACTGCACATATGTTTAAGCATATTTTAAAGTAGTTACTGTACATCTGCAACTGTTTTACTTTTGAAATAAACCCAGTTTAAGATGGCTGTGGCAGCTAATCAATTATAGACAACTCAAAAATGTCTATAGTTAATTAAATTGTACAGAAGCTGTGCAATAGTTCGATGTGGCTTTTAGCTGAGAATCATTTATAACCTATATTGAGTATTATTTTAATAAAAATGGATTATAACTCCATTTTTCAATGTAAAATAATTTTAGTTTAACACTTTGGCATGAATGATTTGGCAATGCTAGGCCTTAAATTTTCAGTGCTGTTAGGTCATGAAAAGGCACATTTGGTGCTAAAAGGCTGCTAAAGCTATCTTGTTGAATTAAGTTTATGTTGTTGATAATTGCAAGGTTAAATGTTTATTATGTTAAATAGTTTAATTTTCTGTCATTTGGTCAGTTGGTAGACTGATTGGCTAAAATAAAATAATAAAGCAATATATTTTCCAGCTCTAAGAACTGTTTGTGCTTTTTCTTAAAAGAGTAATGTGACACTATAGTTATGAGCTGACAATTCAGACTCAAAAATCAACAGCTACTTCCAAGTTTAAACATCTTTTCTTATAATCTGTTATTTGTATAACAAGTCAATAGCACGGCTTCTTCTGGCTTCTCRTGTTTCCAGCTCCACCTCATCTCATCGAGAAGCCCCAGGATGTCCAGAAGCTCATCGATGACTCACTGGTGTGGGAGTGCAAAGCCACAGGGAAGCCCAAACCCTCTTACAGATGGATGAAAAATGGAGAAAACCTGGAGTCTGCAGAGGTGAGCTGTGCCAAATGTTTTTACACCTGAAGATGAAGTTCCTCCTCTAAGGTTAGACCACACAGTTTTGGAGCAAATGTCTCCATTAGTATCAGCGCCACTGAAGGAAGAAGAAACACAAACGTGGTGTTTCAAAACTTTACTAGGCTGCTCGATCAAGCCTTACTCGCAGATCATTATGAAATAATGTCTTTTTTTACAGACTTCTGTGCAATTGCATGTTATTTTCTGGTATAAAAGTCATTCATTTCCACAAAATAGCTTCAAAATAATTCATCTGTGTCTGTATGTCATGCTTTACTGTGCTAAAAAACCAAACAGGGCAAATATTCAATGATAGTCAGGAAGCGCKGTGATGCAGAAGCGATGCTAATCGTCTGTTAAATCTCTTCCTGCTAAGTCCAGTATGTAATTCTTCCTCAGTACAGATGAAAAATGATGATGTTCTGTGTGAGCACAGCGGATGATACATTTCCTTTAAGCTTCCTGCACTTTCTGAGCTCCCACAGGGGATGCTCTGTCTCGTTTGGCATTTGAAAATGWGTTTGATTTCTTTGTTATTTATGTTTTATTATTAAATCTGTTGCTTCTACAAGGTTGCTCGGAAGAGACTGATTGGACACTGGCACAGCTTGCACTTGATATATAAACCACCAGTATGTTAATTTGCTTCATTATGCAAAAAAGGCAACAAACTCACCAGAGGACACAAATCAGTACTTGATTGTCTACATATGTTAGGAATGAGCTCAGTCTGTCACTGTAAGTACCAAAGGCCAAACATTACGTACAGTATGTGTCGCATACAAAGGCGTTAAAAGTATTCACATGTATTACTTAAGTACAAGTATAGACATTAGGGTTTAAATATACTTTTGGAAGTAGAAACATCAATTCAAGCTTTTTACTCAAGTAAAAGTGTAAAAGTACTGATTTTAAAACTAATGAAAGGAAAAAATGCCATTAAGAATAAAAGCTTGGGCCACACCCCAGAATCTCACCGTCCCAAAAACATTTTTCTAAAGGGAATACTGACTATAAAATATAATAAAATGTTAAAATTTAGGATGACTTGGGCCACCTGATCAGCTGCATAAACTGTATGTTGCTGCCAGGGTCTTCATACAAGGCTAAATACGTCTGCTTTGTCCTGCTGGAGTGTGAGGTGATATGTGTTATAAAGGTGTGATGGATCCTACAAACCAATAGGGTGTCAGAATAGTAAATTTATTCAACACATTCTCACTCCCAACTTATCACATATTGAAGTTTAGTCGAGATTCCCTCTGTGTCTGGTTTTCACGCATCAGGTAACCCCCTTGAGTCAGTTATTGAGGCACAGGGCTTTTGCGGGTTAGCGCCACATAGGGCCTTTGGTTTCGGGTCCGTGGTTAATATTAGGGACTGGGATCGGTTAATTTTAGGTAATGAGGTTAGAAATAGGATATCTAGGATAATAGAAGTTAAATTAGGTGTTTGGGATGGTTAGTAGAGGTGGGCGGATCGATACTAAATATCGATAATATCGATACCAGTGCTGGTATTGATACTGAACAATACTCGTGTAAAAAGATTGATACTCAAGCTTTGTTCTTCCCCACACACACTGACTGCTGCACATGCGGATTTTTCAAAGTCTACTCCCTGTCTGTAGTGCTGCACTGTGCA